TGGCTTCTTGAATTGGCGTTTATTAAGATCAGGTAGAGTCATGTGGATGAAGTGCCAGCCTCATAAATTACCAATTGTACATAACATCGATTTCCGATATTTTATGGTAAATTACCGATAGTCTTAATAATTTCGTGAATAAATGCCCCCCCCCCCTGTTGATTAATTAAATCCATCTTTTTGATATGCATTCAGGGTTTGATACTATCTGACAATTTCATCTGATACGCCTCAAAATTTGAATGAAGTTGTTGTGTTAATTAAATTGAGGGAAGGCGTCTAGCATAGAGTTCACCAATACAAGTTACAGTTAACCTAACCAGTTAGTGTTTTTATTAGCTTTACGAACTAGCCTAACACATGATAGAAAGTCGGCAGAAGAGGGAGTAGAATGTTTATATCGGAAGAGAACAGGAATTAACTTGGAAGTTGAAAGCTTTGGTGGTGAAGAGTAAAATAGAACAAGGAAAATTCAATGACCACCTGGAATGCTGTGATATAAATCACAAGATCGAAGGATTTCGAGAAATTATGTAAAATATTATAAAAAAACACATCGTAATGTGTTTCCAAAGTGTTTATCTTGGTCACCACAGTAGTGTCTAAACCTGTGATGCTTTCGAAGTCACCATAGAGCCATAAGGTGTCCCCAAGGGGGGGAGGGATTAATTAGTATATGCAACATATAACGATACTGATGCGAACCAAAGGAATCGCATGCTTGCTGGGACATTCAAAAAATGCAATCATGCCACTGTCTGCCCAGCAAGCTAATGTAAACGATCGCGTTGAGATCTTTCACCATTCAGAGATCAATTTTATGCGATGCAGAGTAACGTCGAAAGTATTTAAAGACATAGTATGTTGACAGTATTAATACGCACGCGGCTGTCAGTTATCTGCCCCTGTGTTGTCTTCCCCCACTCCTCCTTGCTCGTTCAAATTCTCATCGTGATTTATTCTATGAATATTGGTCGAAATAGGTCTTTAAAGTTTAACTTATTCTAAAATTGCTCTGCGTTTTTGTTGTTACCAGCAATAGTTGAACTTCATTATGTCCGTTACTTCCTGCAATTTTGAAATTCAATGAACTTGTAGCCTTGAAATAATGGGGACATTCATCCATGATGACTCATGCCCCAATTAGCATAAAGTGTAACGGAATGATTTACAAATAAGGAATACCAGACAATCTCACTAGGGGAACTTTTTTCTCCCTTACACATAATTACACTGTTTAGAACTGGGGCCCAGTGCTCCTTCCTATGGGGCTCTCATTCCCTTACCTTTTCTTTGCCATCGCATTCTATACCATCAGCACATCTAGACTTCCGCTCTTCAGTTTCAGCTTCTTTCAACTCTTAAGAAAGGTTTAGCATGACACTAAACACAAGTACCCTGTTAAATTTAAATCAAGACTTTTGCTATCGATTTTACTGACCCATTATTGTAATAGTCTATATTTAGAAAACATGTGTAAGTGCTAGATTAATCTCATAATATTTTTCTGCACTTTTCTGTTTATTTTACTAACTACTTAAATTAATAACTTTTATTTCGTAAGTTAGCCCATTAATTAACACAGCACTTTAAAAGTGTGAAAATTCGGCTAATTCCATTTCCCGCCAGAAAAATGGCTCATAGATGGCCAACTAATTCGATGTCGCTATTGATGATAATTTCAACTATTGGAGGGTTAAGTTTAAGCTGAGTTCGAATTTACAAGTTACAAAAAATTCTAATCAGTTTTAAGCTAATATTTTAAAAATGAAATGTGTACTTATATTAGATAATGCGAATAAAAATGAACGATTTTTCGTAATTTTTCGCTTAAATATCGCCTATTCTTGTTTTTTTATTTTTCACACATGCAATTCGTAATAATTCCAGTAAACACAGGACATTTGAATAAATACATTTCAAAGTATGTTGAGTAATTCGAAATTACTTGGAAAAATATTTTTTAAATTGAATTTCACCAACTAATAGAGGCATTTCCTTTTCACTGATAACCTTGTAGGAATACAAAAACATAACATGTAAGAGACCGAAAATTATTAATACTGACAATCATTTCTCACTTGCGTCCAGATTTATGCGAGTCTTTCGTGGTCTTCAGTATTTTAACATTACTATGCAATGAAAATTTAAAACAAACCTTGTAGTTCCGGGTAGTTTGAAGGCACCGACCACATATCGCGGGTATGTAAGTTCGATAAAATATCCTTTTTGGTGAGGAAGAGGATTGAATCCTTACGCGAAAGTGGTAAAGATTCCAGGACGAACCAAAAGTACTCCAAACTCTCGTCTAGTTTTGTCTGGATTTTGAATAGAGCTTTGTTTGCAAATTTGTTCTTACCTCAAACTCGGGAAATTGACTTTTCTCCGCAAAGTCGACGAGAGATGCAAAAAAGAGGACGGCATGGATTGTCTCGAATAAATAAACCCATTTACGACGGTCTCCCTGCTGATCTCCAACGTTTATAAGCCTTTAATATACAAAAATTGATATTGAATTATTTATTTCGCTAAGGTTGAACTGACTTCTTAGATACTTGGACCTCAAGTAGATATAATTTTGGAATTATTATTAATTTTGCATTATACTTATCTCTTAAAATGAGACATTTATCAAGTATTCACGATATACCGAAAAGCTTTAAATATTTAATTTTGAATTCAAATTAAAGATTTGACAAATTTCCTGTAAATAGACATTGCTTTTCCAGTTTCTTAACGCTTATCTCACTGTTCACCTCCCCCCCCCCTCCCAAACGACGCCAACTGACCTTCAGGATAAAGTGTCTGTCGGTTTCTAAATCTAATTCGTCTCCGGTACTAACATTTTTTATAATCCTATTTGTCATAACTTTGCTAACTACTGACAATTGAATTTCTGAGATTAACATCCTTCTCCGCCAACGATGGAGTCTAGATTGAATGAGTAAAATTTACACAAATTAAGATTTAAGTGCCCTCTGCCTCGAGTCCAATAAGCTTATTTAAATTCATCTTTATCATTACTTTTAAATCCAACTTGCCGCCTCTCAATCCACTAAATTTGCTATTTTTGCAAAAAATTGACGATTCTCCTAATTGTTTAAAAATTTTTTTTAATTTGATTTGTTATGATATTAAAATTTAACTGAGCCTAAATGAACCTCTAAAAAGAGTGCCGTAGTCACAAATAATGTCTGAAACTCAACAATACTTTAATAGAAGGATAGACTAAACCGTTACCACATTTTGCCCATTTAATTGCGCTAATTTGACTGAGTAGTATACTCGTGCTTACAATTGTGCAAAAGAAATTGAACTAAAGCAGGTGAAGGCAGATTTAGAATGTTTATGGCGGATGAATTCGACCAACTTTCCCACCAGCCAGTGCAAGAGAAGCAGACGACGTGGGATAGTGGCTCTGATCTCCTCAAAGTAAGCGGTAGATCTAAATTTTGCATTAACTTGTTGCATCATTGGGTAGTGGCGTTGGGCTTTTCTCTCCTTTAAATTAGCGCAAAACGATCTGGCTTTCTGTGATTTACAACTGAGATCTTTAAAAGTAATTTTGTTTGATCAATTAGATGAAATTCGGGTATTTACCTAATAGTTATCTAGGTCCAGTTAAACTATTTTTTTCCAATATATATTAGTATTCCTAGTCGAAATGAAATATCAGCCTGGAGTTTTTCGAAGAAATCTTTTGAATTCCACCATGTTGAGTTTTGACACTGTACTGCTATAATTCCCAAATAATTGAGAATAGAGACGGCAAAAAGCGGCCAATTTCCTCATTTTATCTCAATGCACACTGTTTAAAAACAACATGGGACTTAATTTAGCAACGCTCACACTTTTTGGCTATCTTATTTTCTCCCAACTTCTAATACCATTTTCCACTGCCCCTACGTTTTTTAATCTTCAGTTATCCTCTCCCATTTATTTCCTACTGGCATCCTCAGCAATTCTAATTTCTTCAGATGCTTTGTATCTAGTTGGCACTTAGGGGCACCTATTCGTTATTTACTGGGGTAGATCAAGGCTGAATTTGGTTGGACTCTTGGATTAGCTCAACGAATAGGAAAAATGTTACTTTAAACTCCTTCTCGTTCGCGTTAATATAAATTAAAAGTTTAATTGAAATAATTAGTAATTATGAGTCTGCTTTGATACAAAGTTTGGACGAACATGTGACTTTCGGAATTCCCTCTCATTTTAACCGCCCCCCCCATTCCCACCCTTCCAACTTTCTACTGAACCATCTTACCCGATCATCGCGCTTGATCATTTTGTTTGTTTAATCTGTGCCCATGAGCTTCAAGTCAATAATATCTAAATTGGTGGTGTTGCTTACTGAGAGTTACACCACCAATTATGAGCTTAAACCAATGACCTCAAAGAAGTAAATATAATATATTTCCTTTTTTGAGAGTATTGGAGGAGGTTTTAGGAACTCTTACCTTAAAGACGTCGATCCGATTTGAAGCAAAGATTCCCGAACAGCATTACACGGCATTTGGACAAGGAGGATATCTCTGAGTGTTGGCGCATAGTCACTTTGAATAAAGCGGTCCACGTTATTTATGAAACTAATCAAAATATAAGTATGAATTTATTAGATAATTATTTAAGGTGTATATCTACGTACAATATAGTAGAGAATCTAACTGTTTTCCATGTGTAATCAAAGCATTACGAAAACATATGTTGAAAATATATTCTACTTCATGCTTTTAATTGAGGATTGCGCAATTCGGAAAATTTTACTGTCAATTTCAATTAAATATTTTCTTAAATTGCTACATTTGCTATGAAAATAGATAATTACGTCGTTCATTTGTTATACACACATTTCAAAAGCAAATTGCCTTTCATGGATGAATGGGAATCATCAAAACTACTATTCACTTTTACGGCAAAGACATGCCCAAGTTCTCAACGCTAATTAATTTGTTTATCTTATTCCTAAAATTGGAGGTGCGCGATAGACTTACCCCCACGTAGTGCATGCAGGGCAAGGTAAACTTATACGACAGAAAGAAGTTTATGAACCGGAAGTTGACTTATGACTTCAAACTAACATGGCCTCATTGTGCGTCATTTTCTCCCACTTCCACTCTACTCACCTTACCTTTTTCTCTACCTTTGTGTCTGTCTCTTTTACATCTGCGAATCACTCTTCTGTTCCCTCCCCTGACTTTTGTAACCTTGATGTTACTCCCCTCTGTGAAGCCCGAAGGCAACTAAATGACTAATGATAACCTTCAAAAAGCCTGCCATTTGGTACAAATAAATTTTTACCTTGATAAAGTGTAATTTTATATCAGAAAGAGTCATACTGAATTAATTTTTTGGATTTTGGTGGAACAGTAAATACTTATCCATTCCAAGATTTAGATTTAATTATCCTATTTTTGACTGCTGCAATTGCATGTTCACGACATGCAATGCTCTTCAAACGGTTTAGGAGGCAAAATAATCCTCAGGGATGTTTCAATGTGTATAGTTTAAACCTTTCAGAAATGGGATTGTCAAAAGTTTGAGTCCGTCTCTGTTCACCTCACTTCGTGCTTATTATTTGCCTTAATATAGGAAAGTCAATTTTGGAAGTAAACCATCTTCTTTACATTAAATATTTCCTTGTTTGTGGTAAAATCCCTCCTAGCAATGACAAATTCTCCCTCTTCTATTGCATTAATCAGTTTTTTTGCTCCTATTTTTGTGGGAAACAATTGAGAATTCTAGTAAAAAGGGAGGAGTAGATAATGGTCTTTATTTCGCTGAATCTTCGAATAATTTTGATTGTTCGTTTGATACGACACGCTAAAAACAATAAAATCTATTTTGTCGTATAGAAAATTTAATTTCCAAAATCCTTCCCCCCCCCCTCCTCCACTTCTCCATAAAATACTAAAATGCCAATTTCATAGATTAGCTGCTTGAAGCAAAATTAGAGTCTTTAAATTTAAATATGTGCATAAAATAATTCTTCTTGTAAGTCTCTACTCATAAATTATGAGATTGCGCGTGAAGTTGAAAGAAAAACAGGGAGAGATTTTTTCGTTCCTATGGCAGAACCGCAAATTCCCATTTGTCAAACCAGCTGTATTCGCTTGGAGAGCCAATACTTTCGAGGTCTTCTTTCCTCTAATGGCATAAAGCTAGAACAAATATTGGTATTAGTCAGGTTGATGTACGTCTTTCTGCGTTCGTTAATGCGATCAATATGGTGAATCATGTGTAGATCACGTACTTATACCTTATAATCTAATTGCAAACATTTATACAGCATTTACGATGACTAATGTGGTTGACTAAATGCCACCACAATGGCTTAGAAAACAAAGAAAGGAAGTTAGGACAAAACTAGATGGTGTAATTTAACTTTCATGTTTTCGCCTTAATAGACGAAGTACGCTAATATTTTGTGCAATATAACATCCGCTAAAGATTTTCTGTAATTGTCCTCTACATTTCTTGAATGCTTTCATATTCTAACTAGAGAGATTTTGGAGAAGATCGATCAGCATATTTATCAATGTAAATCTAACCTCGACGCAGATTCAACTTTCTGCTTAAGTCGTATTTTAAAGTTGTCTAAAGCGTGTTAATTTATAATAAAAAAAAACACATTCATCATATTGACATTTAATGCCAACCTTCATTACCCCCTTAACAATGTATCATGGGCTTTAGAAAGATCAGATATGACATCAATTTAGTCTGGTATTAGGGGTTTACTAATTTGTTATTATAATTGAGCTTCATTCTTGTCATTACTAAAAGCTTTAAAAAATAAAAAGTTTTTTTTAAACATTCTCACTTTCTTACGTTGTGGTTAAGATTAGATTGCAGAAATTGTATCTAATAAGGCCCTCCTTTTTTCGAACATTTTTTTTTCTTGTTTAGGATTTACCCACTGAACAAGCATATCCGGTCTATATTCTCAAGGAAATAAAATATTTTAGTTTTATTTACTTCACTGCAATTTAAATTTAGTGCTATTAAATAGTGTATACTTTGAGCGCGGATCAATCTTTAATGAAAAGGCCATAAAATGCAGACTTGGCAGAGTAAGACCGCTTGCAGGAAAAAAATGCAAGCTTCTTACTACCTTAGTAGTAGCGTAGAGCACAGGACAGAGTGAGTTTACTTAAAGCTATGCAGAGGTAGAAAAAAAGCGTTAAATTGGTTATCTGATTTCGCGAGGAAGAGGGGGGGGGGAATAAAGTGGAACCATGGAGACCTCGTACTTTGTGAAATGTTAGCCTCTATTCCGGTATCAGCTTATCCAGCCATGCTAAGGGTGTCAGCTGATGCATTGCATGTAGAAATACTTCCTAGCTAAATAAGCTGGTAATTAGGCAATAAATATCGCGAATACTTCAAAATGTTGCATGCCCAATGAGTAAATTTTACATACCCGGATCAAAAAATATCTAAGGTGATAAGACTCGTCGATAGCTTGACGTTTGATATCTGCGACTTTTTGATCTTCCTCTTAGTGTGTCATTCATCGTACTTGCTGTTATTTCCTAAATCAATAGTTGCTCACAATAAAGCAATTATGAGTTTTATGTTACTCTGAATGAGGACAACAAAAGTAAATTCATTAAAACAATTGGTTTTACCATTGGGAGAATATTTGCGATTGTCTACGCGAACTTGAAACGAACTGTAAAGCGAGAAGATTTTATACATATGTTCTAACATGAGGATATTTGCAAGCTTTATGGCCAATACTCAAGGTTGACGTGGTTTAAAAGATTAAGTGATGGAGTTGGCGTTTGATACAATCGGAATTTTGTCGAGTACAGTTGAAATGAATTTGACAGTCCCAGTTATATTTTCACACTAATATCATAGATCTACACAAAAAAATAGGGCCCAAATAAATTCATTTGTCATGAATAATAATAAAGATAAAAGAAGTGTAAAGTTGGAATTTGGTTACTTCACCTCTCCCTAAGTACATCTACAAAGAAATTGTTAATTGATGTAAATGCATTGTGTGGAAACCTCTCCGTGAAATAAGCCCTATTCGGGTACTCATATTTTTTCCGACTTTAAACAAGGGGGTTGAGTCTTGATCCCATGACCTATGACCTATGAGATATCCTTGTTACTGCCATCAAAACGATAAAAATTTAAAGTTTCATAGCCTTGGTTTTAACTTAAATCAGCATGATACTTTAAATATACAAAATATTTCATTTTTTTAAATTACATTTTAATTTGGACCAATTTTTGGATAAATAGGGAATATGATGCGCCGCAGATGAATAAAGTGCAGGAACTATATTTTACTATCTTCTTTTTAAGCTAAAAGTTAGTAGTAAAACTATTTTTTAATATGCACAAACAAATATTAAAATTTATTATGAAAATATTTTAACATTTAAAAATTGAGCAAAGTCTTTCCACGGTTTTTCAGTGATAATAAGTTGTAAAGTTGGGCAAAAACAAGATCAAGCCGCACGTTTGAACAACTTGGCACCCAGTCCAATTCCAAATTTGTTGCCCTTTTCTTCCAGTCCAATTGTTCTCATTGTAATAAGTAATTTTCGAAGTGTTTGGAAATAAAGTTTGGCAAATTTAAGTAATTTTAACTCTAACATTGTAAATATCAACTTCTCCGTTTAGTGCATCGTCAAGTTTGATAAATAATGCATAGGAAACGAGAATTAAAAAGCATTGACATGAAGACAACAGTTAAACTGAGAGTATTTAGCGATAAAGCTTTTTTAAAGGAAATACTCTAAGAGAATTGACTCTTTGTTGAGAATACGTGGTCAAACGACTATTTGTAGTACGGACTTGATGGAACCCCACCTGTTGTTAGCCACACAATCACAGAGTACGCATCATAGAACATTAATCCTGTGATTTTTGGCAAAACAGATGAGCATGCTGACAGCATAGTATCATCTCCTCTTACCTCTCTTGCCTCTCTGTTGAAAAGCCTCTAACCCCAGAAAACATCTAGTGTCAGAGAAGCAAATCCCATTTTCAGAAATTTTGAGTTCTTCTCAAAGAAATAAAAATATAAGGCAACGCTTTCAGCTATGATTCTACTAGTTAATTTTTAGGAATAGTATTGATTAGGCTAAACTATAGCAATATGCAGAGTTATAGGTTCAAATATTACATCAAAGATGTCATTCTGACTGGATACATAATGAAATTATCTAATTCCACATTTATTGCCATCAGCAAAGATGATGCAAACATTAATTAACAAATTATAATTAATCACTTAATGAAAGAATTAGTGATAAAGTAAAGAACATTGCGCATTGCAGGAGTCAATCCATCTCTCAACTTTTATTCTGAAGCTAGGAAAAAACGCATTGAAATAAGAATTTTTTATTTCGTGAATTATAACAAGTGCCTGGAGTGAGTTAGGTAATTTTTTAATCGCCTCTGTGCATATTCCATAAGTTCTTGATTAAAAGAACTTAAATTTAAATAATCATCTAATTATTGCAAGTATGCAATATTTTTTTCGATGTGTATATAAGGTAAGAATGTAATTTTAACATAGTTCAACTTTTAATAATAATAGAATGTTTACTTGCGTAAAATAAGTGATAACAGGTGAATTAGCGCAATCCAAGAGAATAACGCGAATCTTTGCAAACACTAAGAGTAAAAATACGGCCTTTACGAAATGTTTTTTGGTATTAAAATTGTCTTCTCGTTTAAATCAGATAACGACGCGAGTTAATGAGAAAAAAAACAAATTAAGTGGCGAACTCACTACAACTGATAAGTTGACATTTCCAGTTGACATTTCGCCTCCTCCCTATTAAGAAAGACTTGAAACTCCGGTTGATCAATTATAAGTTTAAGCATCCGCCCATTGATTGAGGCAAAGTTAAATAATTGAGAATGCGTCACCAAACTCATCTTATCATCCTCCCGAGAGACAGTGAATGAGGGCTGAATTTTCGCCTCCTTCTCCTCAAGATCATGCTTTTCTTCGGAGGGGACGTTAGAGTGAATACTAATCTCTTCGTCGCATAAAGAATAGTCCTCAGATTGGAAGGATGTGTCTGATGACCAGTCATCAGTATCTGTGAGAATATTACTGTCTAGATTAGGTGCAGAAGTTGAAGGTGGAGTGGGTGGGGCCTCATTCGGAGGAGGAAGTTGAGCAGCAATTTCGGCAGGAAGTTTTCGGATATAAGGATTGCATACCCTTTCCTGCAGGGCTGCCATCACCTTCGCTGGATGAAGCTTTCCAGCCTTGAAAGCAACCTCCAACCATTTTGTTAATGCCTCTAATTCATCAACTCCTTCAGGGGCTTTATTAAAAACCTCCGTCCGTATTACTTCCTCCCAGTTGACTTCTGGATGTAGAGAGCCCAAAAGGGATTGAATTTCATTTACTCCTAAGCTCTTCGACAATTTGATATGGAGTGGGGTTCCAGGGGTGTGGGTAGGGGAAGTACCACCTTGTTGACTGGTCTGTACAGAAGTATTAGAAAGTGCTGATACTCTAGAGTGGTTGAGGGGAACACTTTCCTCTTCACTAATGGACTGGAGACCTGTGAGATCTATAAAGGAATTCCGTGGATGTGAATCCATCGAAAGGGACTTGCTATAATAAGCGAAAGATACTGCCACCGTATAACCCTCAGGTGGTTGGTTTCGAACTAACTGTACTGCTAATTCGTTTATGTAGGGATCGCTGATTTCTGCATAGGATTCTTGCATCATTTTAATCACTCGCACGACTGTGTCGGCAAGATTTGCCATTACAAATGGAATGAGGAATTTGCGAACAGATGTTGGAAAACTGTCTCCATAATGAATTCGAAGCTGCTTAACCATCGTACTTCTTCCGCTTCCCCTATTCCCTAAAATGAGGGGAAAGAGACTTTGCATTCATTTGCATAAACAAACCAGTCTAAGCTGCTTTTAATTTATGCTAATAAATTAACTAAGCACTAAACTCCGAATTAAGGCAATTAAATGAAATTATTATTAATAAGTGTTTACAACTGTTTCCATTTAATGCATTGAAATATGAGGTTTGTTCCTTGAATTTATTGTGGTCTACGTTGATTGATACTTTGGCAGATAGTTAATCTTTTAAGCGCGATTCCTAAAACTAGTAACTTATTTTTTGTTGTGCTTCTATGCTTCTAAATTGTATCTTTGCACAATTTCACAATTTTTTTTTCTTTTTTTATTGTAACATTTTCCCTACCAAATCCTACTTAAATTTAGAATAGTAAATTGTCGGTAAGCGCAGTTGTGTAGGGTTTGAAAATAGGTGCATTAATCTTGTTTAATTATGCTAATTTTAGTTTAGACAAGTTTAATTGATTCACGGTGGCTGGATAAATGTGTTGGGCTTTCCTTTAAATGCGAGCACTAAGATTAGACATTTCTTAAACGGAACTTACTTTACCGGTACTTAACAGAAGCTCCGATTTATATCGATCGTAGAAATGATAAATTTGACAACTTCCAATTTCCTGCTTTAGCGACAAAACGATTAGATAAGAGCTATAACCCTTAATGAGAATACTCATTTTAAAGTTGGCTTATATTAATCTGATGCTCTCAGTCATTAAAGTATGGAATATAGCAGAATGGCGTGACCATTCATAAATTTTAATTAAAGTAGAACTCTATTTGGTAAGAACAGATCAATTGAATCCCTAAATTTAAACTCTAGAATGATGGTCTATGATGCTACAAACTGCATTTATGAAAGTAAAAGTAATTAATGTATGAATGCCCAATGGAAATTATCTAATCCACTTCAAAGTCGAACTTTCAATTTACGTATTTCGGCGTTAATTCAATTCCTCCCTTTTAAGAGTAGAATTGCAAAATTATACGCGGGTGAAAGACTAAACGATAGCCGTTTTCAACTTTTTGACATTTTTAAAATATCATTGGATATCTATAAGGAAATTAAATTTTTAACGCAGCACAGGTACATTAAATCTTATTTAATGTTAAAATGGCCTTGCCATCTTCCCACTTTGAAAATCTTTCGAGCGTTGGGAAAATCGAAATGTTCATTAATGAAACTTTTAAATTATATTAAGAAACTTAACTATCGCCTAAACGTCAAGTGATCAACTATCTTCTTCAATTATCCATAAATTTAAACAAATTAAGCCCTTGTTGGCAGAAGCCAATCCATGTTTCAGAGAAAGACAGCTACTGTAGAAAACATACGAAAAGACGCAATCAAACTTAAAAAATTGAGTCAAATACGAAGCTACCTTAACAAACAATAGACCAAATTTCCCAGACTTATTTATGGCCTCTGAAAGAACAATTCGCGTTAGGCAAAATAACTTTGTAAATAAACTGAAATTTTCGCTCTTCATGATTCAACTTGAAAGGTAATATTTTATGTTCATTAGAATGAGCGTTCCTCTATTAAATGGAGACAAGCATTCAAATGAATATTTTAATCATACCTAATAATAAAAGTCGTATCTCTCTTCGATGCAATTCTTGGTCTTCCAATAATTCCTGGTCTATGAGAAAATTCCGCAGACCAGACTTGCGACATCGGATCTAAAATTATATTATTTGTAATAAGAGGTGGTTAACATGGCCCAATATATTTTATCTTGGGTAATAAAAGCTTCACCATTTTTGCCAGATTTTCACGAATACAGCGTTGAAATATAAAACGTTTTTTTAGAAAATGAGGTGTTTCGGTTTGCATTTTTGGCTAAACCAAGCTTTCACATTCTTGTGCTAAAATTGTGATAAGAAGCAAAGGATTAAACAAAAATTGAAATACTTTTCGGCATTGGGCTAAAAATTTGTGTAGAAATCATGATATGAAATCATGCATTTGTGAGGATAGAGGCGCTAGATTTCGTGCGGTTTATATTCATGAGTGTATATATATATAGCAGAGGTGGAGGTTAGAGGCGGACGTTTTTGATACAGTAAGATAAATTGACTTACCAGAGGCAAGAGGTACTACATGTCGGTAGAAAATTAAGGAAGATCAGTGGTAGTAGTACAACAACCCTGCGATTTGTTTAACTCCTTTCCTGCGTAATGCTAGCAAGAAATGCAAAATATCCCAGTTAGAATTGCCTATTCCCTGATTGGTTACAGAGTCTGGCCAATCAGACAGTGAAGCTTGAAGGCTGCTTGTTATACTATTAATGTTAAGATTAATTTTTATCATCCAGTTAGCATAGCCAAAAATATGGAGAATTTTTAAGGAAAATTTGGGGTTCGCAGGGACTCATTTAAAAGTTTAAACTGACACTTCAACAAAAAACCCAGTAGCATTGAGAATAGAAGGCAGGTGCACATCTGAAACTTGAAAAAATAACTTAAACCGTAAGTACTCGCGCAGGCCATAAATAAAAAGAGATTATTTTTTGCTCCCCTGCATTTTCAGAACATTTTGAAATGAAGCCAACGTGGTATGGAGAATTGTAATGGAGGCGACAAAGATGCTATGGATAGAATAAATATGACAAACTATATGATCTGATTATGCCTGTACAATCCATTTCCACAAAAATTAACTGCATAAACGATTTTGAGCACACTGGCGCACTATTTCATTGATGATGAATCCTCTACAATTAACCTTACGTTAAATGAAGATCTACGCTAATAATCTTACAAATCACCGTCCTAGAGGCCAAATTTCCATAGGAAAGGTTCGAGGAAATCGTCGTCAGACAAAGGTGGAGAAGGTTGTTAAACAGGTGGAGCATAAACAACCTGGTTTATTTCTGAAAAGAAAATTTTTTGCCATGTTGAAATGCACAACGCAGAACATGTAGACTAAATTAGGCAAAGCTGTCATGATTTCCGGACATGTAGCCTCCACCACCTAGGTTGACGTTATGGCTCTAATCACATTTTAGGAGAGCCGTGGATTCAATTCAAATGACTACTTGGAATTTTGGATTAGTAAGGCACTTAATTTATGGATAAAGGAGGTAGATAGGAATAAGCTACTTTTGTTCCGGTAGCAAAATTCGCCTCCCAGACGCGCCTGTCCAATGGTACGTCTATGAACCCCCCCCCCCTCCTCTTTCCTATTTCGCCCACCAATCAATCTTTACCTGATGAACTACTATACGTTTTGAGCACTGGTAAGAAAGACACTAATCGCCTTACCGGTACCTCAAAAGCCAACTAATAAATGGACCGAATAAAAGTTTAGTCAAGATGATGAATAAGTACGCTTCATTGGAATACTAAAATATTTAATTGGCCAAGGATCCTTTTTGATAAATAAACCCCATGCTGTACTTCTATTCAAGTCTACTTATCCTTCCACTCTTCTTCAACTGTTTTCTAAATATTGAGATCTGTGTAATCCTCTCATTCCAATAGAGTATACTTTAAACCCCCCAATCTGTCAGCCCTTAGTTTCCACGCTGGAAATTCTCTTTCTTTCTGCAAATGTTTTTCACCTCCATCTCCATTTTTTTGATCAATGGAGTTCATAAGTAGAGGGGAGTGGGATAGCCTAACCAACTTCCTCTCCGCATAATCTTCGAGATATTTGGCGGCATCCATATTCAAAATGTGATCATGGGATCTTAATCAATTTGTTTCCACTTCAACTGTCTCCATGACAGTATATTGTCATATTCGTTTATCGTAACTATGACTGATGATTATATGCGCTTAGTGCGTTTTAATCAATTTATTTCATCCAGAAGGGAAACGTTTTGGCAAAGCTCCCGAAATTTAATGGACTTGCAGTATATTGATCTGCAATCTGATGTTGAAGCAACCACAGACACTTTGATTAGTTAATTTGCAAACAAATCTGTTATTCATATTTTTGAAAAGAGTGTCCAATATCTTTAATATAATGTTGTCTGTTTTTAATCAAATGTACAAAAAATTGGAAATTGTATGCCAGTGAAGGAGGCTTTAAACTAATTTGTTAAACACGCTCACACCAATGATTCAAATGATCATCTTCGATTCGGTTGTGCACCTTTGAAATGGTAGAGCATTTAAAAGTTTGTTTGAACTAAGTAATAAGTACTTACCAGTGGCATAAGCGTGATTTTAGCCGGTGACAATTTGGGCTATTTCTTATTAAATTTCCACATTGAATGTTTATTTATTAGTAATTAAATTTTAAACTGACATTGAATTGGTGAAGTCTAAGTCATGGTTGACCGTCTTTAAGACAAATTTTGTAATATAGTTAGATAACGTAACTAACATATTTTAATAGTTAATATAATCGCAGTTCTTTACTTTTTAAGAGCCAATTTCGTGCATGAAATATTTGAAAATGCTTTCAATAAGTTAGTGTCTTGGATTTTTCTCTCACTTACTCCATGAGCACTCGGTGTCCCCAAACGCTATTTCTCTTGCGCTAAAACGGGAAAAAGTATTGCGCTAAGTCGGTTTAAGTCACCTCTTCTCAAAAGGTTTCTCCCCTTTTCCTATCCTCATTCACCAACACCCTCACCCCCTTCCACTCCATCCAACCCCCATGCCCACAATCTCTTCCCCCTCAATGCCTCAATTATGCTCAAATCACTTGTGGTTTATCCTGTTTCCGCCGTCCCCCTCACCCCTCCCCCTCTCCTCCTCCCTCTTCACCCGCTTGAGCTATTACTACTTATGGCTCTTCCGTCTCATTCACCGAATCCAACACTGCGTTGGAAGTTTTTTTCCGGTTGCGTGCAATGCAATCCTTCTCTGGTGAATACGTTTTACTCTGTGTTGGCTTTAAATTAAATGCTAAAACCGCCAGCGCTGACAGTGCTCTTAATTTTGATTAAATTTTTAAAATTTTGCATAAAAATAGACATTTTTTCTTGAAATAGTGCTTGCGAAGATGAAATATTGCCAGAATTATTATTAATTATTTGTG